TGACCTGAGATGACATGATGTGAATTGGAGCTATAGAAATAAACTGAATAGAATTAAATCAGAGGGAGCGGAACCTCTGTGGATGGAGACAGCAGGTTAGTGACCACATCTTCATGGAACGAACATGTGAGTCACTAACCTGGTCTTATAGTTCAGTCCGAGCCCAGAGGGTGAGGATGGTTCCATTTGGCGGCTGCCAACGCAGTGCGGGGATCCCAACGCAGAGAGACCCGGTCGCTGATGCATCGATGGTCGGAGGACAGGCAGGAGAAAGCCAAAATCTGGGACATAGTCAGGTATCAGAACCAGGTCAGAGATCCGCTGAGGTGCCGAGGGAGAACCCAGGACAGAGTCGACAAGAGGAGGCTCTGATCCCGCCCACTGGAAAGGCTATGGAGGTCACCTGGGGGGTTAAAGGTCGTTAGGGGGTCTGATGGGTCGGTAACTCCCTCGTCAGAGTGGGTTTAGTCACATGCCTCATTGAGGTGTGAGTCAGGTGAGGGCAGGTAGGAGGTGGATCTTCTGGGTATTGGTCCTAAAAGGTCTTTGGAAGTAGGTGAAAAGTTCAGTCTAAGACTTTTTGTTAAGCTTGACCTTAATCTGGAGGACTGAGAATCTTCACAGGAATGACATCAATCAGGTGTTTCTGAAAAGTTCGGTCAGATTTCTGGTTTATTGGTGAATTGTTCCTGAGCGAGGAGCTCCAACGTTGTTTGTTTTTTAGTGTTTTGAAAACCATCATTCACAATCAATAGTTCAATTTACTAAATCATGTTAAGTAGATTTTATATTTTTTTTCCATAGTCCTGTTATTTTCATTATTGTTGCGAATTTAGCCATTTCTGTGTCTAAGCACAGCTATATATATATATATATAGCCAAATACCACCATGGCTAAACCCGATCTCCATGAAACCACCACGGCTAAACCCGATCTCCACACCCTGGAGGCCTCATCCAATCAGATCCACCACTCTGTGTTTTATTCATTTATGAACTTTATTAATTATAATAATTATTAATGGGTTCGGTGTTTAAGCTCATGGATGCAAATAAATTGTTTGGTTTAACAAAATCTGACTGCGATATGCAAAGAGAAAATGCAAAGCAGTTCTTTTTCTTTCCTTTCCTTAAATGATGTGAACTCTGAATAATTTCCCACATACTGTTGGTATTTAAAAGCACTTTAGCTTTTCTTTCAACAGTTTCAGTGTTAAAGTTGTAACTGATGCAAAGGTGCGCCCTCATCGTACCGTTAACCTTTACATCCGTCTGCATCAGTTGGAACCCAGAGTTCAGCAGATTAGGAGGAGAAACAGTCAGTTTGGAAACATCCACATTAAACATGTTTCTGGAAAATCTGAAACACGACCAAACTTCCACAGTTAAAATCCTGATGCTTGTAATTTGATGCATTCAAGGCATCAAACCTGGGAAAACATGTTTCCGCCTGCAGACGCGGCGTGCCTGCAGTCATGACTTCTGATGCAGTAAAGCAGCTAACTTCATTACAGGATCGCATATTTATTTAACGTCTAGTCAGGTCGGGTTACAACAAGCTGGCTCTAGCTTCTACCACTTCTAATAAAAGTTTAAATTGAAGCTGATTAAAACAAATGACCAACAACAGAAACGCAAACATTAGAACATTAGTTTAGTATCTTGTGAGGAGCTCAACCAATCAGCTGGAAGCTTCTTTATTACGTAACGCTGGAATTCACCAACATTAACTCTGCAGATTTTACGGATAGCTCCTTTTTATTTTGTGTTTTAATCTTTGTAGCCAAAATGTACGACTGTTGCAGTCAGAGTGGCGTCCATCTTTACTGGTCATCAGACGGATGCAGGTTTTCCTTCTCTGCCACGATGACTGGTTTCCAGGTTTGCTGACATCCTGCAGGTCAGAAGCCAAAATAAATGATTATATCATCATTTATTTGCTAATAATGATAATAGAGTGAACATGATCACAGTAACTTGATTCACTCGACTCGTAACACCCCCCCCCCCATCTCTGGTCAGTACAGACACACCTGACTCCTGCTAACTGGCATCTATCAACTGATCTTAATACAAGAAATATATCATACAATTATGACACTGAAAGACAATAAGGCCTGTGGGATGGATAACATTTCCACTGAGCATTTGAAAAATGCAAGTAAAAAACTCTGTGCATTACTCTCTATGTGTTTCACTGGCTGTCTAGTACATGGTTTGCTACCTAAATCAATGTTATCTGTCATTCTGGTACCCACTATTAAAGACAAAGCGGGTAAGATTAGCTCCTTGGAGAATTACCGACCCATAGCTTTAGCTAGTAGTTTGTCGAAAGTTTTTGAAAGAGTCCTTCTAAATAGGCTGGAAGAGTTTCTTTTGACCTCTGATAATCAATTCGGTTTTAAACCCAAACATGGCACAGACATGTGTATTTTTGTGCTACAGGAGATTTTAGATTTGTATAATTTGCACAACACCACAGTATTTATGTGTTTTATTGATGCTTCTAAAGCATTTGATCGCGTGAATCATCAAAAATTGTTCTGTAAGTTAGAAAGCAGAGGTGTACCCAAATATCTAATTAGAATAATGGTCTATTGGTATGGTCATCAACTAATGTATGTCAAATGGGGTAACTCATTGTCTGACTCGTTTAA